AAAGATCAGAGATGTCTATGGACAGCAAGCTCCTTCAGCATGGAAAATGGAACAAGAGCACCTCCCCATGGCTGGAAGTTGAGCATCACCTCCAGACACCAGAGATGGAAAAGGGGAAGTCCTTTACCTTATCTGTGTATTGTATGTCATTGTTTATGTAAAATGTAAAATGGCATTGAATGTTCGCCTGATATGTGTACTGTAATCTGCTCTGAGTCCAGGGAGATAAAGCAAAATATAAATAAAGTATATTATTATTATTATTATTATTATTATTATTATTATTATTATTATCTCAGTCATCCACACTTTTTAAAAGTAATCTTTATTAAGAGTTTACGTTAAAAGCAATAAAACAATGGAGAAAGGAGAAAAAGTAAAGAAAAGAAGGGTAAAAGACAAAGAAAATACAGAAAGAAAAAAAGAGAAGGTAAGCAAAGAGAATAAAGTTAATGGATAGAAAGAGGTAGAAAAGAAAAAGAGAACACACACACACATAGTTAAGTAATATAGAATAGAAATAAAAAATAAAAAAAGTTTGTTGACTTCCAATAAAGTGTATTATTATTATTATTATTATTATTATTACTATTACTATTACTATTATCAATCATCCACACTTTTTGAATGAGCTGGTGGAGTTGTGTCAGCTCAGGTCCACCGTCTTTAAAGATTTCAGCAGGGATCCCATCAGGTCCGCTGGCTTTGTTATTTTGTTGTTGTTGGCTGATGGTGTTGCTGATTTCCTCCAAACTAGGCAGTGCTGCAGGCTCATCCCTGATTTGTTGTTGCAGGATTTGTGAGAGAACCTCAAGAACAGAAAACAGAATGTTGGTGAACAGGAAAAAGAGGCTTAAAGCAAACCTTAAAAACTGTGGCATAGACACCAAGAACTGGGAAGCCCTAGCCCTTGAGCACTCTAGCTGGAGATCAGCTGTGACAAGCAGTGCTGTGGAATTTAAAGAAGCACAAATGGAAGGTGAAAGAGAGAAACATGCCAGGAGAAAGGTGCATCAAGCCAACCCTGAAATTGATGCCCTCACTGTGGAAGAACATGCGGGTCAAGAATGGGGCTAAACAATCACTTACATACCCACTGCCAAGACACTGCACTTGGAAGGCTATCATACTTGGACAATGAGGGATCGCCTAAGTAGGACACAGTGGAGCAATGGATTCAAACTGCAGGAAAAGAGATTCCCCTTAAACATTAGGAAGGGAAAACCTGTTTGGCAGGGGAATGTGCTGCCTTTTAGGGGTCACCTTCTCTGGAGTGTTTGAAACAGTGGCTGCTGCCTGGCAGAGGAACCATCTACTGCAATGTGTGGAAAGAAAATGCCCATAAATCTTGTACTGCAAGAGTTTTCCTTCCTTAGTTCTTTGAATATTTGATAGCTTTAATATACCCAGGAAATGAAGTTGTGTCTCTTTTGTAGGAAGTCTGTACTTTTTTTGGTGCATTCTCCTATTTGGATTTTGAAGCAGTTTGGAGTCAACCTGCAGTGGTAAAACAAACTCCAATGAAAATGCACAAGAGAAAGACCATCATGTTCATTAGTGCTTTGAGATTTGTGTAATCACCACCTGGATCTCAAACTGGTTCCACGATTTCCTCTGCAATCCTCTGCACAGCGAAACCACTTTCTTGTATCAAAATACTGGTTTGAACAGGAGTCCCCAGTGGTGCAATGGGTTAAATCCTTGTGCCGGCAGGACTGCTGACCGAAAGGTCGGAGGTTTTAAACCAGGGAGCAGGATGAGTTCCCATCTGCCAGCTCCAGCTTCCCATACGGAGATATGACAAAAGCCTCCCACAAGGATGGTAACACATCTGGGCATCCCCTGAGTAACGTCCTTGCAGACAGCCAATTCTCTCACACCAAAAGGGTCTCAGTTTCTCAAGTCATTCCTGTCACACACACACACACACACAATACAAACTGGTTTGAAACTGACTAATGTGGTCATTGCAGATCAGGCATGGGCAAACAGGCGCTCCAGGTGTTTTGGACTCCAACTCCCACCATTCCTAATAGCCTGTCCCTTTCCTCCCCCCCCCCCCAGCTGCTTAAGTGAGTGAGAGAGAAAGGGAAGGGGTCTGAGGCTGTTAGGAATTGTGGGAGTTGAAGTCCAAAACACCAGGAGGGCCCAAGTTGGCCCAGGCCAGCATGATATCAATGCTAAAGTGGGGCTGGGTGGCTCTCTATTGGGAGGGCTTGGCTTGTGCCTTCCAGCCTTGCAGAATGTGACTGGACTGGATGGCCTCTTGGGGAAGGAGAGGGGTCTCTTGCATTTCTAGGCTTCTATGCTTCTTAAGGGAAAAGGAAGAGGCCTGAGGTGGTTAGAAATGGTGGGAGTTGGGAGTCCAAAACACCTGGAGGGCCCAAGTTTGCCCTGTTATTGCTGCTTATTTGTTCAGTTGCTTCCAACTCTTCATGACCTCATGGACCAGCCCACGTCGGAGCTCCCTGTTGGCTGTCACCACCCCCAGCTCCTTCAGAGTCAATCCAGTCACTTCAAGAATGCCATCCATCCATCTTGCCCTTGGTTGGCCTCTCTTCCTTTTTCCTTCCTTTTTCCCAATCATCATTGTCTTCTCCAAGCTTTCCTGACTTCTCATGATGTGGCCAAAGTATTTCATCTTTGCCTCTAATATCCTTCCCTCCATTCCTGAAGTATGGACTCGTTGGACCTTCTCATGGTCCAAAGCACTCTCAGAATTTTCTTCCAACACCACAGTTCAAAAACATCTATCTTCCTTTGTTCAACCTTCCTTATGGTCCAGATCTCACACCCATGGGTTACTATAGGGAATACCATTGCTTTAACTATGTGGATCTTTGTTGCCAGTGTGATGTCTCTACTCTTCACTGTTTTATCAAGATGGGTCTTTGCTCTCCTCCCAAGAAGTAAGCATCTTCTGATTTCCTGGCCACAGTCTGCATCTGCAGTAATCTGTGCACCTAGAAATACAAAGTCTCTCATGGCCTCCACGTTTTCTCCCTCTATTTGACAGTTATCAATCAGTCTAGTTGCCAGAATCTTGGTTTCTTTGATGTTTAAGTGTGACCCAGCTTTTGCATGTTCTTCCTTCACCTTTTTTTCTTTTCTTTTTCATGTCAGGAGCAACTTGAAAAACTGCAAGTAGCTTCTGGAGTGAGAGAATTGGCCATCTGCAAGGACATTGCCCAGGGAATGCCTGGATGTTTTGATGTTTTATCCTCCTTGTGGGAGGCTTCTCTCCTGTACCCGCATGGGGAGCTGGAGCTGATTTTTTTTTTGTCGTGTCAGGAGCGACTTGAGAAACTGCAAGTCGCTTCTGGAGTGAGAGAATTGGTCGTCTGCAAGGACATTGCCCAGGGAATGCCTGGATGTTTTGCTGTTTTATCCTCCTTGTGGAAGGCTTCTCTCATGTACCCGCATGGGGAGCTGGAGCTGATAGAGGGAGCTCATCCGTGCTCTCCCTGGATTCATAGAATCATAGAATCAAAGAGTTGGAAGAGACCTCATGGGTCATCCAGTCCAACCCCATTCTGCCAAGAAGCAGGAATATTGCATTCAAATCACCCCTGACAGATGGCCACCCAGCCTCTGTTTAAAAGCTTCCAAAGAAGGAGCCTCCACCACACTCCGGGGCAGAGAGTTCCACTGCTGAACGGCTCTCACAGTCAGGAAGTTCTTCCTCATGTTCAGATGGAATCTCCTTTCTTGTAGTTTGAAGCCATTGTTCCTTGTCCTAGTCTCCAGGGAAGCAGAAAACAAGCTTGCTCCCTCCTCCCTGTGGCTTCCTCTCACATATTTATACATGGCTATCATGTCTCCTCTCAGACTTCTCTTCTTCAGGCTAAACATGCCCAGCTCCTTAAGCCGCTCCTCATAGGGCTTGTTCTCCAGACCCTTGATCATTTTAGTCGACCTCCTCTGGACACATTCCAGCTTGTCAATATCTCTCTTCAATTGTGGTGCCCAGAATTGGACACAAATTTCCAGGTGTGGTCTAACATGGCATGACTTCCCTGGATCTAGACACTATATTCCTATTGATGCAGGCCAAAATCCCATTGGCTTTTTTTGCCACCACATCACATTGTTGGCTCATGTTTAACTTGTTGTCCACGAGGACTCCAAGATCTTCTTCACACATACTGCTCTCGAGCCAGGCATTGTCCCCCATTCTGTATCTTTGCATTTTGTTTTTTCTGCCTAAGTGGAGTATCTTGCATTTGTCACTGTTGAACTTCATTTTGTTAGTTTTGGCCATCCTCTCTAATCTGTCAAGATCGTTTTGAATCCTGCTCCTGTCCTCTGGAGTATTGGCTCTCCCTCCCAATTTGGTGTCGTCTGCAAACTTGATGATCCTGCCTTCTAGCCCTTCATCTAAGTCATTAATAAAGATGTTGAACAGGACCGGGCCCAGGACGGAACCCTGCTGCGGCACTCCACTTGTCACTTCTTTCCAAGATGAAGAGGAAGCATTGGGGAGCACCCTCTGGGTTCGTCCATTTAACCAATTCCAGATCCACCTCACCGTAGTTTTGCCTAGCCCACATTGGACTAGTTTCCTTGCCAGAAGGTCATGGGGGACCTTGTCAAAGAAGGCCTTACTGAAATCCAGGTACGCTACATCCACGGCATTCCCCGCATCTACCCAGCTTGTAACTCTAAGAGGGCCCAAGTTGACCCAGGCCAGCATTATATCAGTGCTAACTTACTAAAGAGAGGCTGTGTGGCTCTCTGTTGGGAGGGCTTGGCTTGTGCCTTCCAGCCTAGCAGAATGGGGCTGGAATGGATGGCCTCTTCGGGGGAAGAAGGGAGTGTGTGTGTGTGTGTGGGGGGGGGGGGGTGCCCTTGTGTTTCTAAGATCCTATGCCTCTAATTATCCTTGCTTGGTTTAGAAGGAGAAAGAGAAAGAGGAGGCCAGAAGTACAAGTTCCTGCAAGGCTGTCAGAGGTAAACGAAAGAAGGAGGAAAAGGAAGAAGCAGGAGGAGGAGGAGGAGGAAGGAGAGAGCGCGTGGGGGAGAAAAAAGGAAGGGAGAAGGGAGAGAGAGGATCTGGAGCAAAGTGTGTGTGTGTGTGTGTGTAGGAAGAAAGGGGGGGGGGTCCTCCGCGCATGAGCCGCTCCGCCTGGGCGTCTTTGGCGTCGTCGCCGGTGCGCGTTGGCGCTGTTCGGGCCCCCCTGGAGCCGAGCAAAGAGAGAGGGAGAGGGCCCTGGCTCGCCCACCCGGCCAGGTAAGGCGAAGAGCCCCCTCCTCCTCCCGGCACAAGCCAGCCAGCCCCCTGCCCTGCTCGCTCGCCAGCCCCGGCTCGGCCTCACCTTGCCCCCTGCGGCCTTTTCCCAAGCCCGGGCCCTCCTCCGCCTTGGCTTCCCCCTTCCCCTCTCTCCCCCCTCTCCCCCTTTTGCCTTTCAACCACGATTTGGACACACAAGCTTGGACTGGGGAGACGTCTCCAAAGCAGAGCGAGAAGGAGAGCCATCGCGTTTCCTTTTCCCCTCCTCCTCCCTTTCTCCTCTCTCTCTCTCTTTTTCCCATCCCTCTTTCTCTTTCCCCTCCTTCTACATAAAAAAGTCGCCATTTTGCTTCATTGCTTTCCCAAGGCTTGGGTGGCTTTCATTATTTATTTTGCATGCCTGTCTCGAGATTGAAATTGTGGGTTCCTGTCGGGGTTGGGCACCCCAAAAGGAGGAGGAGGTCGCAGCGCCCGAGTCCTTTGGCCTTCTCCTCCTCTCTCTTTCTCTCTCTTTCCCCTTTTATTTCCAGAGGAGGGAGGGCAGGATCTCAGGGTCCTTGAGGCTGGCAAGGAGGTCTTCTTCTCTATTTCCTTCTTTTTGCAAATCTATGCCCAATCTGCACATTGTAGACAAGATTGCAACACAGTCACAAGCCTGCAGTCTCCATTTCCGCCTTGTGCCACTCCATTCACCCGCTCCCTTTCCCCCAATTCACACAACAATATTGGGTGAAAAGTAGCAGTTTTTGTATCTCTTGGTTGCTTTCCTTCCTCCTTTTCCTTCTTTTCCCCACCTCCCAGATTATTATTTGGTGAAAAGTAGCAATTTTTGTATCTCCTCCTTGCTTTCCCCCTCCTTTCTCTTCTTTCCCCCACGTCACAGATTATTATTTGGTGAAAATTGCAGTTTTTGTATCTCTTTCTTGCTTTTCTTCCTCCTTTCCCTCCTTTTCCCCTCATCACAGATTATTATTTGGTGAAAAAAATGCAGTTTTTGAATCTCTTTCTTGCTTTTCTTCCTCCTTTCTCTTCTTTTCCCCTCATCACAGATTATTATTTGGTGAAAAGTAGCAGTTTTTTGTATCTCTTGGTTACTTTCCTTCCTCCTTTCTCTTCTTTTCCCCTCATCACAGCTTATTATTTGGTGAAAATTGCAGTTTTTTGTGTCTCTTTCTTGCTTTTTCTCCTCCTTTCCCTTCTTTTCCCCACCTCATACATTATTATTTGGTGAAAATTGCAGTTTTTGTGTCTCTTTCTTGCTTTTCTTCCTCTTTTCCCTTCTTTTCCCCAATTCACACATCAATATTTGGTGAAAAGTAGCAGTTTTTATATCGCTTGTTTGCTTTTCCCTCCCTCCTTTTCCTTCTTTTTCCCCACATCACAGATTATTCTTTGCTGAAAAGTTGCAGTTTTTGTATCTCTTTCTTGCTTTTCTTCCTCCTTTCCCTTCTTTCCCCCAATTCACAGATTATTATTTGGCGAAAAGTAGCAGTTTTTGTATCTCTTTCTTGCTTTTCTTCCTCCTCCCCTCTTTCTCCTGCCTTCAAAAAAAAAAAAAAACCCCAAATAGAAATAACAGATACAGATGGGAATAGATAGAAGCCCGCGGTTGCGCAGTGGGTTAAACCGCTGAGCTGCTGAATTTGCTGATCAAAAGGTTGCAGGTTTGAATCAGGGGAGTGGCATGAGCTCCCACTGTCAGCCCCAGCTTCTGCTAACCTAACAGTTTGAAAACGTGCAAATGTGAGTAGATCAATAGGTACCACTCCAGTGGGAAGGTAACAATGCTCCATGCAGTCATGCCGGCCACATGACCTAGGAGGTGTCTATGGACAACGCTGGCTCTTTGACTTAGAAATGGAGACGAGCACCAACGCCCAGAGTCGGACACGACTGGATTTAGTGTCAGGGGAAAACCTTTACCTTTACCTAGGAACAGATATTATTAGTCACTATTCATGCTTGGGAAAGTGGAAGGCAAAAGGAAGAGGGGCCGACCAAGGGCAAGATGGATGGATGGCATCCTAGAAGCGACTGGACTGACCTTGAGGGAGCTGGGGGTGGTAACGGCCGACAGGGAGCTCTGGCGTGGGCTGGTCCATGAGGTCACGAAGAGTCGGTGACGACTGAACGAACGAACAACAACATTCATGCTTTGGTGGTTATGGCTGGAAGGGAACAATTAAACATGATGCCTCTCAAAATGCAAGCAATCTGCACTTTAAGGAAAGCAAGCAAAGAAGAGGGAAGAATGGGGAAAGACAGGCAGGAAGCATTTGTGCTTTGGGCTGTTGTGAGTTTTCTAGGCTATCTGGCCATGTTCCAGAAGCATTGCCTCCTGACGTTTTGCCTGCATCTATGGCAGGCATCTTCAGAGGTCATGAGGTCTGTTGGAAACTAGGATTTGCTTTGGATAGTTAGGGTTGGTTTGCATCTTTTCGAGGTCAAGTCTGGCCCTGAACCCTTGCAGCAAATCCACATGCCTGTAAAGTCAAGACTAGGCCTTTCGAAGCAACAAGTGGTGGACCCCACATTCCACTACTCAAGTCATGCTCAATAACTGGATGATTTGGGTGGGAAGTGAGGGGTAAGGGAAGCAGCAATGGAAAAGGGTGAATTTGGTGCTCTATCTATCCAAGCAGGTCACTTGTCAGTCAGGTGGAAGATTTTGGGGGTTATCCAAAGGCTGGCGAGGTTGGGCAGCATGGGGCAAATTAGGTCAAGGTTGGCAATTGTGTCAATGCAAGGACAACAGACTGATGGCCTACAGAAAGGAGACAAAGGAGGGAAAGTCAGGGACATTTGACAGTGTCCCTGGATCAAGGATAGATGAAGGAATGGATGACTCTTCTCTCCAAACCCTATCATCTGCCTTAGGGCCCTTCCACACAGCCATATAGCTCAGAAGTCCCACAATATCTGTTTTGAACTGGGTTATTTGAATCCACACTGCCATATATTCTAGTTCAAAGCAGATATTGTGGGATTTTCTGCCATGATAATAATAATAATGCCCAAATACAACAATAATACATCCATACTAACAAAAATTATACAACCTAACATATAAATGTGAATTATTACTTAACAACTAAAATTAAATAAAAACCACAGCCTGTTATAACAGACATAGGACAAAACATCAAACATTGAATGGAAACAATAATTTCCCATTTCTTTTGGGCAAATTGATTAATTGATATTCTGGATTCTGTGGCTGTGTGGAAGAGCCCTGAGTTACCTGAGTCCACACTGCTATATATTCCAGTTCAGAACAGATAATGTGGGATTTTCTGCCTTGATAGCCTGGGTTTTATGGCTGTGTGGAAAGGCCCTGAGTTACTTGAGTCCACACTGCCATATATTCCAGTTCAAAGCAGATAATGTGGGATTTTCTGCATTGATATTCTGGATTCTGTGGCTGTGTGGAAGAGCCCAGAGTTATATGAGTCCACACTGCCATATATTCCAGTTCAAAGCAGATAATGTGGGATTTTCTGCATTGATATTCTAGGTTCTGTGGCTGTGTGGAAGGGTCCTGAGTTACCTGAGTCCACACTGCCATATATTCCAGTTCAAAGCAGATAAGATGGGATTTTCTACCTTGATACTCTGGGTTTTATGGCTGTGTGGAAGGGCCTTGAGTTACCTGAGTCCACACTGCCATATATTCCAGTTCAAAGCACATAATGTGGGATTTTCTGCATTGATAAACTGGGTTTTATGGCTGTGTGGAAAGGCCCTGAGTTACTTGAGTCCACACTGCCATATATTCCAGTTCAAAGCACATAATGTGGGATTTTCGACCTTGATATTCTGGATTCTATGGCTATGTGGAAGGGCACCCAAGTTACCTGAGTCCACACTGCCATATATTCCAGATCAAAACAGATATTTTTGGATTTTCTGCCTTGATATTCTGGGTTCTATGGCTGTGTGGAAGGGCCCTGAGTTACCTGAGTCCACACTGCCATATATTCCAATTAAAGTAGATAATGTGGGCTTTTCTACCTTGATATTCTGAGTTAGAAGGCTGTGTGGAAGGACCCTGAGTTGCACAAGAAAGGAAGTAATGCAACCAGGGCATTTAGGATCATGACATTGACACCTTTGCACGAGCAAGGATGATGAGGACATCTTGCAGTCACCACTTAAATGAGATTTAGGTCAGTATTGAAGAAAGTGGTCTCGCTGTGCATAGGAAATCCTGGAATTGGTTTGAGGCCCAAATAGTAATTACTCAATCACAGAGCATTGATGTGTAGTATGGGCTTTTTTCACATGTTTCTGTAGGTATTTGTTGTATAGTCATCATAGTTTGAAACTCATTTTAAACTGTATTAAATGGTCAGCGTAGTTGGGTCCAAATACTTGGAGTATTGACTCTTCTGTCCAAATCCTATGACTGGGTCAGTCACATTGCTCAAGTAAGGATGTAGTGCAGGCATGGGCAGGCTTTGGCCCTCCCAGGTGTTTTGGACTTCAACTCCCACAATTCCTAACAGCCTACAAGCTGTTAGGAATTGTGGGAGTTGATGTCCAAAACACCTGGGAGAGCCCAAGCTTGCCCATGCCTGATGTAGTAGAACCAAGGTTTGTAGAGTCATGGCCTTGAGGCCCACTTATGGGAAGAGACCATGATATCATCTGCCAGTCAGGTTGGATTCCCTTATGCTCTCACTGCATTTCCCCATACTACCTGGAAAGGAAATGGATTTTCCTAGTCATTGTGAGTTACCCTGATTGTAATCCAAAGTACAGGTGGAGTATCCCTTGTGCTTAAGTCCAGAAATGTTTATATTTTGGGATGTTTACATATACATAACAGGATATCATGGAGATGGCCCCAAGCCTAGATATGACTTTTCCTCTACACCTTATGGCAGGGGTCCTCAAACTAAGGCCGGGGGGCCAGATACGGCCCTCCAAGGTCATTTATCAGCCCTTCTGAAATGACTTGAAAGCACACAACAACAACAACAAAAACAACAACAATAACA